CCGTACACATGGAAAAACCAGAAACCCCGGTTGACTTGAGTTCCCTGGTTGTTACAACCTTGGGATAAGATGACAGGATTGCCCCTACCCCTCTGAACACATATCTGGAGAACATGGTTCGGAGATGGAGGGCCCTCCGTCAAACTCTATATCCCTCACGGGAGCCGTCTTGGTTTGGGTTCTCGCTAACCCATTTGTTTCAACTACCATCAAGGGGACATACGAGACTCTATGGAGATTCCCGGTGTGCCCCGACTACTACACGGACGTCAAAGTTGGGTAGCAACCTACCGCTGGAGTACGGCTCTGGATGTGTAGCAGACTCAGTTAGGGCTGCCGACTTTCTTAACGGGACAACACATGATTCGGATGGTTGAAGCTAGACCCTTGTTTTTCATTATATCTACTCTCTGGAGTCATCTGTCATGAGCGAAATGACTTTATGCCTTGCCTGCGTATTGGAGAATCCTATGTGTTCGCGGGATTCCAAGCTAAGAAGGGAGGTATCCCTCTATAGGGAGACTTTGACTTCGGTTATCGAACTCACATTTCTGGGACTTAGGGCCTACTCTGGGAGATAAGTGCCAGAACAGTCAGAGGTACGGGGACCTAGGGGTCTCACCATATTTTACCCCTATCTTGTAGGTGGCATGTAGACCAGAAACCCCTGCGCGGGTTTTGACAGGTCGGGTATGGAACAGGATCGTACTACGAGTAATCGGATTATTTCATTCTCTCACTACAACACGTGAGGACTCTTCGTTGTTATACTGGTCCTAATCACCATTGGATCCGTATATCTTATCGCTCTCAGGCGATGACATATCTGGATGGAAATCTCAACTCTGGTTTACATTTCCCATCCCTTTCAATATTTCCGGGACTCACTATTCCCAGAATAGTCGAACACCACTACACCACACAAGTTCAGTTTGGGACCTTGAATGGACGTTCTTTTGGAGTCCTTACTCTACCGCAACCGAGGATTACACAGTCTATTTGGAATATTGGAATCTCTTAGGATACAGCTAGTTTGACCACACTCTTGACGGCATAATAAACGTATTCTCGGATGAGACATCTCACCGGGTAGACCATGAGGGAACGGAAGATCCTACTCGGTTATATTACGGAATTGTTGGTGGACTTGGGAGCATTTCTTGGAATTGGAGATCCACCTGCAAGGACACATCACCAGATGGCCCTGGCAAGATTGGAGGAACCACCTTACGCATCAAGAGTCGAGACATGGTGTCAATTTTCGTCTCACGGCCCTAGGTCCGCAAATGACCTTTGACATTTTACAACTACAGGAAATGGCTAATGGGTCAGCTGGCAGCTCATAGACTGGTTACTAGGAAACAGGTCGCAATCCCATGTACAATGGATCTATCAGCGGATGGTGTTTTTTTCCGTAATTAGGATGCTTCGTCAGCCGGCATCTTCATCAATCCGGCTACTGTCATTTATCGCAGTTGGAAAGTCCATTTAGGAATGCTATGATATCTCTAGGAATAGGTACCAGTGAAACAAACAGCGTTGGATTTGTTGACTGAGCGTTAAAACATCAAATACGAAGCCTCCTGTTATGTTATAAAATTGTAGATTATGCTAGATTTAGTGTACCTATGATCTTAATTTTATTTATGACAGGAGGTGATTATTTCCCACCCATTCTTATCCCTCCCTTGTTTAATTTTATTAGTTTGAGTTCATCAGGTATGTATGCAACTCTGCTTGTTGTCTCTGCTACCTGTCACTTGTTCTCATGTCTGTTTTTCATAAGTAGGGTTGTGATGTATGCAGGTTACGGTAAAAAATGTTGGTTATTGCATTGGGTACCTACATGCTTGTTCAAAGTACATTTCATTGGCTAACCAACCTGTTCGACTCTGTTTTCTTTCGTTTCAGTTTACAGTCCATCAACACTATCTGGTTCGACAGTTCTTCTCGGATGGTGGACGTGGTCGTTTTCATAATATCTAGGACTTTGTTTCTTCCCCATTATATTTTCTGTATTGTGTTTCTGTCTTGTCACAGCTTGAAAGAGGAAATGATGCATGGGAAGGGGAGTTTTATAGTACCTAACTTTTTTCTGATTGGTTGTTTTTCTGTGCTGCTGTGGAGTTCTAGTAAAGAGAGACTAAAGCAAATACTCGCCTCCTGTCATTAATAGAATTAAGATTATAGGTACACTAAAGCTAGCATAATCTACAATTTAGTGAATAATCCTGTGAGAGAATGTAATTGCCTTTATCAGGGGGCGGCAAAATGGATTGTTGCCTAAGGCGGAAAGAATCCTTGCACCAGTACTGCTCCCTCCTGTACCTTAGTGATCTCCCCTCACGTTATTTAGTAATGAATTGCAATTGCACGTACCTTCCTTCATGTCCCTTAATGCTCTCCCCATGCCCCCCTGTGCCTTGGTACTTTCCCTCTCCCTGCTCATAAGAGTTCTCCCCTGCCCCTTAGTAGTCTCTCCTCTCCCCCCCATTCTTGTCCCTTTGTGGTCTCTCCTCCCCCCCATCTGTCTTTTAGTGGTCTCTCCTCTCCTACCACCATCTGTCCGTTAGTGGTCTCTCCCCTCCACCCTGTGTCCCTTAGTGTTCTCTCCTCTCCCTTCCCTGGTGTGCCTCCTACCTCTCTCAGTGAGCACTTCCTGTCAGATCGACCGGGTACAAGAAACAGAGTGTTGAGGATTAAACCCCAAATGCCAGCATAGGAAAGTGGTGTGGGACATATAGCAGTGGACACCTTTCTGATAATTGTTATACCAACAGTAATATGTAGTCAAGAACATTCAAAACAAATAAACAGAAACAATAATGAACAAGAGGAATCATTGCTTAGTGTTCGCACAGAAGTGGATGCTGGATTACCCTGATTGGCAGCCAGCACGAATGGGCAAACCCCGGCAGGATCCAAAGTTGGCTGCTGTGGAGAGGGTGCTGGTAGCAGTTGTTTTCTACAGGTAGACAGCCCTGTTGTCTGTAGAGTTTCAGCCACCTCTGAGGCCTTGGTGATTTTTAAAGTCCCAGATTCACAGGAAATTAGGAGGCTCATAGGAAAACCCCACATGTAAGGTATCTGATGCTTTACTAGCTGCTGGTTCCTGAAGTGTCAGATTGTGGTGCCAGAAGCTGGTAGCAACCATCCAATAGCATTGCCTTGGCTTATTTAGCAGAGAATAGGCTGGTGTCTCCGGAGGAGGTGAGTTATTTCTGCAACTATAACAGTATCAGCTAGGCCATGGACCCTCACGTTCTTCCAACGCATGCAGTCCTCAATAGCCACCATGAGGTGCTGAATAGTGGCCTGTTCACGCTTAATCGCTAACAGCTCTTGTTCAATATTTGTGAGGTTGACCTCGTGGGCAGGGGTGTTGAGTTCAGCATCGTGGAGGCACACTGAAACTCTGTTTATGTCCTCATTAAACTGAGTTACAGCGGCTATGTTGCATTGAAGGTCGGCCAAGAGAGCCTTTAAAGTACCCTCAGCCACCAGTGGATCGCCAGACTTTATTGGAGGTAATTCATCTCTAAGCTTCTCAACAGGTGTCTCCTGCTCCCGTATATAAACAAGATATATTTCACTGGACAACCTGGAGGGTCCACCAGAGAGAGGCCTTATGGGGTTCTGCATTCTCCACAGAAGATTGCCTATGTCGGCAGTTGTCGGGGGCTTATCTGCCCTACATTTCTTGCTCTTGTACCCCATTATGTGAGGTAAGTAATGCCCACACTTTGGGGGAAGTAGCACTGAAAAATTGGGCGGTTGCAATAGATTTCTCCAGCTGATTTGGAGCACCATCGAGACACGTCCAGTCAGTATGGCTGCTGGCTTCACCCCCCATAACATATACACATAAAAAAAAAATTTACTACTTATTTTTTTCCCCTATATTGGTCACTTCTTACTTGAACTGTGAATAAAACCAACATTTAGTGCCCTAACCACCAATAATTATTTTTGTAGTGCCATGGATGGATCTCTGAATCATGAAACAAATGAACATGCACAACATTTGTTCAGTTACACGTCCATGTGGCAGTTTGGTGTTATCTGAC